TTTTTTTCGTTTTCTAGTATATAGTATGAAAACGATAACAATAAATCTTTTGTATTTTGATTGGTTAATTATCACGGGAAATCACGGGTAGATCTACAAAAATTAACCAATCAAACGAAAGTCTTCCTATGAGTGATAAACCCGAATTATTAAAACCGGTTCCAACCTCTACTACACATGTAGAACGATGAATATTTTCTACAAGTATTCTTTAACAAATCTCTAGTGTTACTATCGGATTTTCCAAATATTTTCCGCGTTATCTAAATCTTTTTTCACTTGTAATTTAAATTATTAAAATTATTAAAAAATACTTATAGAAGAGAATTAATGTTTTACTTGTGCTATTATCTAAAACCTAACCCAAAGTGGTAAAAAATTCTGCTTATAAGTATTATTATAAAAATTTACATTATTAGCAGATAGATCTTAAAATTTGATTGGATGATCTGCCGAATTCTGGTGCCACCAATAATATCTATTCTGTCTCTTGAAACGCATTAATTAACATGGACGAACCTCAACTATCTCAACTAACACAAAACTCTGGAAATACGTTTGAAACATGTGTTATAAACACGGCGACCTTAGAAGAACACGATCTTTATACGCAATCAGTCCCTGACACGAGCGGGCAAGAAATTTTGTTAGCATTCTTATCAGACTCTTTACCAGCCCAACGAGATTTAGTGAATAATGACTGGTGTAAGGATTACCTAAATCGACTTACTTCATTATCCTTAGAATCACTTAAACACGAACCGATACTAGTAGAAGATGAACAATCGAAAATACAAAAAGAGTTAGCAGAGCTTTCTTTTCGGGAATACAAGTCGTGTATTCACGCTAATACGTGTTCAACTGAAATCAATTCCTCTCTCGATAACCTAAATTTGCATTTATCGACATTGACTTCCACAATTCCGTTATTAGAAAACTCATGTACATCCTTTTTACAAGAAACAAATCAAATTATTCAACAACGTGGCAAGATCAATACAATTCTGGAATATCACGATAATTTACTTGAAATTTTAGACATCCCACAATTAATAGATACATGTGTTCGAAATGGTCTTTATTCTGAAGCAATGGATCTGTCTGCTCATGTTGCGAGACTAGTCTCAAGGTATTCTACAATCCCAATAATTCAACATATTGAACGAGATGTGAAACAGACGATGCAACTCATGTTATCAAAGTTAATAACTCTCTTGAGCCAACCAATTAAATTACCAAGTTGTCTAAAAGTAATTGGCTATCTGAGGCGTATGGAGGCGTTTGATGAGGCTGAATTAAGACTAGTATTTTTACTTTCCAGAGACGCATACTTGCGATCGTTAATCTGTACTATTGATAATGAAAAAAAAGATCCTGTTTATTACTTGAAAAAATACATTGATATATTTAGAGAAAATTTTTTCGATATTGTTACACAGTATCGTTCTATATTTTCTGATGAAGGTGGTGCTTTAGCATCGACACCTTTATATTCATCACTTATGATGCCTCCTACGCCATCATCACCTTGGATATCTTCTTCGTTATCAGACATAAATGCTAATTCTTTAGGAAGGCGTACTATGACAGCAGCAACAGCCATTTCTGATTATACAATTCATATTCTTGGACAATTAACATCAGTACTTGCGGAATTTACTCCTTTAATTTCTGATACATCATCTCTTTCATCTATATTAACACAACTTATGTACTGTGGAATGTCACTTGGAAGAGTTGGTGTTGATTTTCGACATCTTGTTACAGGATATTTTGAGACAGCTGTTGACCGGATAATAAGAAAGATGATCACAGACGGAACACAAGAATTCTGTGACGATTTGAAACGGGCTACTAAAAATGTTGAGTTGCCTAGTACGTGGATGATTGGTGATAAGAAATCATCAACCTTATCGGATTTACGTCCATCATTAGGTTCATCTTCATCGACACCTACAACTTCTTCATTCACTCCTTTAATTATTCTATTGGATTACCCACCACTTGCATATTTAACAAATGCTTATTTGGCGGCTTTTAATTCCTTACGTTTAGTAGCTCCGGTATCTTTGTTTCATCCACTTGGAAAACACCTTTCGCAAAGTCTTATGCTTATCACTGATTTATTACACGAATATGGTGATACTCTCGTTAAGCATGATCATGATATTACCGTGCTACAAGGATTTAACGCGACGTTTGCTCAAAGTTTTGTGCCTTTTATCTCAAGATGTTTTGTTGAAGGTGTTTATGGAGGATTGATGGACGGAGATGGCGTAAATCATCCTGAGATTATCGATAAATATAAAATTTTGGATGCTCTTAAAGACTTTTTACCCGCTCCAAGGGTCTCCACCTTTAATTTAACAGACGACGACAATTCAAGTAATGATGCACCAAAAAATGATATTGTCATAGACGAAACTAATAATACCAACGAAGAATAGCCAAATAGACCTCTTATAATATACAGTATAATAATGTTATTAGTAATAATTAATGATAAATACTTTATAATATTGTAATTCAATTTTTTTAAAAATGAAATTTAACAATTAATTATATTTTAAAAATAAATAGAACTAAAAAATAATTTGTAAAACAATTGTTAATAAAATGTCGACTTGGGATATAACAAATCTTTTTATAACGAATCTACTCTCTTTAAAAATTTATTATAGGGTTTGGTATAGAAACATAGTAAATCACTTTAAAAGGAACTTAAAATTTTTACTATGAGAACCGTCAGTTAGTTATAAAGACTATAGTTATGGCCATGCGAGTATAATTAATTATATACACTTATTACAGTATTAATAATAGTTTGGTGATTTTAACATAGAAAGTTTCTTAACATTAACCTTTTATCATTAATAGTATTATATAACATACATGTTAAAGACATATACATTGAGTATTTTATAGTCTATTCCATGTATTATTTAGGTTTAATTTTTTTGTACTTAATTGAAAATTTCAAATTTTACAAATCATTATAGTTTCATGAGTACTGTAACATTTGGTTGGGTATGCTCGCTATTATACAGTTATATTATATAGACACGTATTATTGATTTTTTTTTAATTGCAAATTTGTCAATTCATGATAATATACATGTTTATTTTATAAAAATATAACAAAATATTATACATAGTTGTAACAAGTAAAATAAAAAGTAGAAAGAAAAAATAAGCAAAAAAAAAAACTAATAAATGCGCGAAGACAATCAACTATAATTTTTGTCGTTTCTGATTTTTTAATTGATAATTATCTAAGCTACGTTTTGGCACTGGCAAGGAATGATACTTTTCTCTTTAGCTACATTATACCGATTTAATTTTTTTAAACTTGCTAAAAGTTTAATTATTTAAGTAAATAAAAGCTAAAAATTAAATTTATAAAAATTTGTCATAATTTTTAACTTTCGATTTTTAAATAGAATTTTTAACCAATTTTATGTATGTTACGCAGGTCCGCTTTCATTAGAAAGATTTTTTAACGCAAATTTTATAAAATAATTTGACGCTCAAAAAAAATATCCGCAAAATAAAACTAAAAATAATATATTTTTATTAAAACAGTTGCAGTATAATCTACAATTTTATTATACACTCGTCACAAATTCTCTTTGCTTCTTTTTGTATGCAAAGGTTTAGAAATTAATCCCATCGAAATCTTTCTAATGAATTTGCTCGGTGATACTTTCTTTATTACATAAATGATAATAGAATCCAAAAAAAAATATATATTGTACACACTACTAATTATTAAGAAATACCCATATAAAGACTGCCAATGATAACATCATTCCTTACCAATTTCATATATCTCTATTTTAGCTATCCGTCATAATTACATCTGTATCAATGCCCATCTTCATTTCTATTCCATCTATAGGGATGGCCAAACCAAGACCAATCGCGCGTCGAATGTGAAACAGGTCGGGTCCTAAAAGTGATTTGACGATTTGAATTATCTTGACGAATTGCTCTGAATGTCTTGGTGAAAACGGAAATACTGTAGCAGCCTTTAAAAGTTTTTCAAATTCGTTCACGTTTTTTCGTATCTTTTTTGAAAGATGGTTTTTATCATAATGACACATAGAACATGTCCATGTATCAAGAGAATTTGCTTCTTCATCACTCATGCCAATGCATTCACAGTGGTACCATTCATGACATTTATCACATTCTATCATGGTCTTAAAATTATCTGGTCGTCGGCAAAAACAGTAATGTTTTTGATTGAGGGGAGGTAGATCGGTTGTAGAGAGGCAGCTCCTAGCCCTTTTTTCCCACTTTCCAAGAAAGTCGCCAATATCAAAAATATTAATAGCCGTATTACGGTAAGAAGAAGGCCAAATATTTTGGGCAACTTCAAAACACAACTCAATTAATCGTATAAACCAGATTTGTGATTGTTCAATAAAATGGCCCAATTCACTTAATTCAAAATCATATCCACATTCTTTAACTCTTATGTATATGTCTTCCAACACTTTGACTGATAATGTTGCCGATTCTTCAAGATATGTGGAAATATATTCAATATCCCGCTCTGCTTGTTGGGCCGTATATTCCATAGTGTCCATTAGACTTTTCAGGTGAAAATCTCTTATACGTACTTGAATGAAGAAACAATATTTCTTTTCATTTTCTTCTCCACAATTGCACATTCCTTGTGCATAGTCTGCATGTTCAATGCATAGAATTTGATCTGTGCATTTAAATTTCAATGCAGAAAAATAGCTAAACCCATTGCAATAGGAACACACCATTTCGGAGTCTTTTGGCTCGGTAATGTCGTGTACCGCCGTGGGTAAGGACAATTTTTGAATTACTTCAGTTCGAAGTTCCAGTTCTTTTGTGCACATTTCAGTTAACGGATCTTTAAGCCTTTGATAGAAAAAGACAATTTTTCTTACAATTGAATAACCAAACCATGTAAGGGTGCTTGAATTGTCAATATAAAGGTTTAATGATTTATCCTAAATACGAAATTTACTAACCATTTGATAACCTTATAGTTATTTAAATTTTTAAGTCCAATCGTTAATAATAGCCGTTCATGTGAAAATACTTGATGCCGTTTTATTTCCTTGTAAAATTTTATTGACTCACATCCGAATTTAATCCAATCTGGTAATGCAAAGTTGACGGCCTCATTACAATTTAACTAGAAACATATTAGCAATATAATTTATAATTAATAATGTTTAAGAGAATCAGCTTTTTTCATTTTTGTGTTGCCAAGGGAAAACCTGTCATCAGCCTTTCAATTATATTTTGCGTCCAGTTTATTCTATAGATGCTGTCTATGGAGAATCTATCATCGGGTTTTTCAATTATATTTTGTGAAAGATGATAAGGAACAAACTGGACACAAAATATAATTGAAAGCAAGATAACAGGTTTTTTCCCTTGGTAGCACTCATTTATAAAAAGATTTAAACTTGCCCCGTGATTAAAGCCAGCATGATACGCCTGTGGAAATGTTATTACAAACTGGTTTGGACGTTGATCAATAGCAAAAACTTCAACTCCTTCCTGAACCAGCTTTTCTGGATTTAGAATAGTGGTCAATTGTGTCAATAGGTCTGGTTGGTGCTGAAATAGTTCTGGCAAGAGCTTTTTCGCGGCTGCTTCAAACTTTGATGCAAGTGAGGCCGAAATTCCATACCAAGTCTTTGTCTCACCCCAATGCATGTAATTTATGCTGTAGGTATAATGATCTTCAACATGCCAGCAAAACGCAGAAAAAATCATTCCAACATATACCCAAGGTAACATCATCCCAGGGATGGCTGGAGTAATGTCATGAAGCAGTGAACCAGTTAATCTAGGAAGATTTCGAAGATTCCAAGGATCTTTACTGTATGGATCATCTCGGTCACGTTCACTACAAGGAAAACCACTATAAAGAAAAAAAAAGAAAAAAGGAATTAGTAAAAAAAATAAGTGCTAAGGAATCAACTGAATGTTATTACTTACCTGCCATAATCTGTTGAATTTATATCTGCACCATAAAAGACTTCTGTATTATCATCCATCGAATGTGCAAGTCGCCAAAATTCGGATTCAATATGATCCTCCATTGATGCCTCAGGCGGTACGGGATGATTTTTAAGATGACGTTGTCGAAAGGCATCAGCAGTTTGTTGCAAATCCCTCAGAGTGAACCCATTACCAGGTTCGAAGCCGTAATCAGTACCAGTTAAAAAAAGGCACATTGGGCAATGCCATTGTGCATCGGGGTTAAGATGCTCTTTTTTAATATTAAGGCAATCTATATGATATGGTTTTTCACAATCTCCATCACAGTGTAATACATCTTCATTGCCTTCTGTCAATTTTCCACATTTTCCACATACGTCATCAGGTTTTGTAAGATCAACTTTAATGTCGAGTTTGCCTAATTTGCACTCTCGTTTCGCCTCAGCTATATACTTTTCGTATGGATCAATGAAATCGAAATATCGTTCTTTTATAGTTTTAGATGCTGAAGTACAAGTTTGCGAGTATCCACCTTCTTTGATCTCACGGGCAACTTCAGCCCATTGTTTATTCTTAGATACCTAGTAGAAAAAAAAATTGTTAGATGTCATTATATGAAATAAGTTTTCTTGAAATTTATGATTAACAATTAGATAATAAACCTCGTGAGGACCACCACGATCAGCTACAGCTCTGGCAAGCTTGTGTAAATCTATAGGTGCTTTATCTAACTGGGGTAATCTTGAGAACGGGCGTCCCTGCTGTGCGTGAAACAACTGTAATTGTTCGATGTAATTTAATTTGGCTCTAGTTTCACCTTCCATAGTGTTAACTTTTTGTTTCCTTGTTTTAAACCTGAATCGCTATATTTATAATGTTTAGTATAAATTATAAATTAATAAAGATAAATAAACTCAGTTTTAATAAAATCAATATTTTTAAATGCAATAATACTTTACAGTGGTCTCCAACGAAAAATTTGGATTCCATCCTTCCGGAGGAATGATCTTTATAATACCGTAGCGTGATCCCTCTTTAGTTATACTAGCAATGTATTCATATGGGTCTTGAAATTCTGTCCATGTGGGATAAAATGTCTTGCCCTCAGGAAGATTATACAATCGCTTAGATTTAACTTCATCTTGATAAGGGTATGTTGTTCTTATAGTTGAAAAATCAATGGGTTGTACAGGACCTGACTGATTCGTAGATTGTTTTCCTTTCGTACGGGAAGTATTTTTAATTTTTGAGTTCATGCGTAATGACTCTGATGACATTCCCTGTGAACGAGAAGGAATTTGAGCAAAATTATGTTTGTTGGAGGGAATATCTTCTTTTCGTGCTACTGATATCATTTCATGTGTTGAGACAGGTACATTCATCATCTTAGAACCGGATTGAGACGTCATCCGAGTATTATACGGATGTTTGTTGCTCATCTCTATTATGTTTTAACTATGCGTGTTTGTATTATAAAAAATTATAAAAAGAAAATCAATCCCCAAAAAAGTAAACGAAAAGGGAATATTGTTAGTAATATCGCATGAAAAAAAAAAAATCGAATATATTTATATGAGTAATAATTAAGATTAGTAATCAGTTACCATACCTTATCTCTAACAAATTGATGAAATTGGTGACCTGGAATTAAGTAACAAATAAGATTGTATGGAGCTTTTATAATAAAGATTTAAAAAAATAAAAATAAAAAAAAAGAAAAAAAAAGAAAAAGCCATCAGTATGTGCGAGTAAATATCTGATTTCTAGTGTTATCCTCTATTTTATTAAGAATGTACAATTGGTGATTTTTACAATTTGTTTTCTGATCAAATTTGAAGAGTAAATTTGTAATAAGTGCACTTAAATAGTTGATACCCAGCGCGCTTAATATTGATAATTCCCCTACTCTAAACTCTTTGTAGTGTATCAGAGTTGTAAAATAATGACTTTATATATCTATGTATAGAAATACCTCTTGACAACTTAGCAAAACCAAAAGCCAACATCCTTAAAGCTCACCACAATAAACTTTGATATAGCACGTTTATGCCACCTTTTGAACCCACAAAAAGCCATGATCTCAAGCTCAAAATAAAACTTCTCACTTCCTTATTTACCTTTTGTATTAAATATATAAGACAATTGTTCAACGAGTGGGACAAACACCTATGAATCTCTAATGTAAGTTTCTAGCGAAATAGTTTTGTCGTGTTGGATGATTCATTTGTGTGACAATCTTGCATATCTTCATACACCAATTGGTTTATACGGCAAATTTCGGAATACTGGAGGTACCAACTTGAGGTACCAACGAAAACATTATTTGCACATTAAAGAAAAGATACCAACCTACAACTGATAATGTCAAATCTATATATCATGAATGAGTTTCTGCCCCCAAAAAAACTTTTAAATTTTTACATCATGGAAATGAAAAAAGAAAGACATCTAAACTGTTTAAGTCAATTTAAGTAAAATTACATAATTTTGACAAATTTTGACAAATTTTGACCAAATTTTATTCGAATTCTGGTAGGAATATCACGTGTTCATTTCAATTGTGCGACTAATATGAAATACTCGAATGTCGTGACTTTAAGTATTCTTCGACGTTCGCGTCTTTAATTATAGTTTTTTTTCTTCTTTTTCTCAATGGCCACTTCGTATAGTGATTCACCTTCATCACCATACAACGAAGACTCTACAGGTACTCTACTCTACTCCTTCCTTCCCTTCTAAAGACTATTTTATAAACTTAATTACTGGCTAAGCACGTTTTAAATATTACCTCTAAAAAAGAGGAGACAAAGCAGGAACGTGCAGCTATTGAGGAGAAAATTATAAATGAAGAATATAAAATCTGGAAGAAGAATTCACCATTTCTTTATGATTTGGTCATTACTCACGCACTTGTATGGCCAACTTTAACGTGTCAATGGTTTCAAGATATTGATAGGTATATTATTTTTAGAATTATTCGATATTTTCCGAGATTTAAGAAATGTTAGCACTAGTTGAGCAACTCGATGGGACTATCAAGTGAAGAAAGATTGTTTTTGATATGTTTCTTAACACTATTTAGGCCTGATGGAAAAGATTACACTGTTCAGCGCTTATTAATTGGTACACACACATCAGACAACGACCAAAATTTCGTTGAAATCGCACATATTCAACTTCCAAAAAACGATGTTAACGTTGATCCTCGAAAATTTGATGAAGAGAAAGGAGGTACACAAACATTATACAAGATTTCTCGTATTTAATAAGCTGAAATTGATAAGTGCTATTGTTTCATGTCTCGAATAGAAATAGGAGGTTATGGAGGTACCACTGAAAGTAGAATTAAGGTCGTTCAAAAAATCAAGCATGAAGGTGAAGTTAATAGAGCACGGTATATGCCTCAAAAGCAAGATATAATCGCCACGAAGACAGTTTCAGGAGACGTTTATATATTCGACCGTACAAAGCATCCATTAAAACCTCTGACTGATGGTGGTTGTCAACCTGAACTGAAATTACGAGGTCATGTAAAAGAAGGGTAAATGAGTTTTCTCATGCCTTTCAATAAAATTACATTATAAATTTAGTAGTTACCTAACATTCATAATTAATAGATATGGATTATCGTGGAGCCCATTAAAAGAAGGCCATATATTAGACGCATCTGAAGATACCACGATTTGCCATTGGTATGTAAATGCTATTGGAGAAATTGGAATTTATGACTTTAATTTGATGCTGCTATTTTATAGGGACATTACTGGTTGTACTAAAGAAACACGAACGATGGAACCATTCCGTATTTATAGAGGCCATGAAGCATTTGTTGAGGTTGCTTATATAAATGTACCATTTTATTTCAATTATTTATTTCATGGTGTGATTAATATTCATTTATTATATTATAGGATGTAGCATGGCATATACTGGACGAACATCTGTTTGCTTCAGTTGGTGATGATCAAAAATTGCTCATGTAAATTATTATATACATTTATGTTTGCTTAATCAATTGTGGCATATTCACATTTTAATACTTAATCATTAGTTGGGATACACGTTCAGATAAGGCTGATAAGCCTGCCCATTCGGTTATTGCACATCCAAGTGAAGTCAACACTTTGGCATGGAATCCAATGAATGAAAATATTTTAGTAACGGGTGCAGGGGATAAGGTATGAACCTATCCGCATTTTAAACCGACTTGAGAAACATATAAAGATTATTTGACGTGACATTTGTTCATGATTTATTTTAGACGCTCAATTTGTGGGATCTTCGTAATCTCAAAATTAAACTACACACGTTAGTGCATCACCAAGGAGAAGTCTTGCAAGTTGAGTGGTCACCACATGACGAAACTATTCTAGCATCCGCTGGAGGGGATAGAAGGGTAAATATATGGGATCTAAGTCGAATTGGCGCAGAGCAAACGGCGGAGGATGCTGATGAAGGGCCTCCAGAATTATTGGTTCGTTATTGTTTCTTTAATTCGGCAAATTTAATGATATGAACCTTAAATTAAAATTCCTTTGTTTCCATCACAGTTTATGCATGGAGGGCACACTAATAAAATATCTGATTTCAGTTGGAATCCTCATATACCTTGGGTGATCTCTAGTACTGCTGAAGATAATATAATTCAAGTTTGGCAACCGGTAAGATAATTATTATATTTTAATAACTTTTCATTGTTAAACAACATTATTTACTAATTTATTTTTGCTTAACATGGTTAACATGTGATGTTCTAACTGTTCTAGGCTGCAAACATTTATTCTATTGATGACAGAGATATTCCTCCTGAAGAATTGGAAGATTAGATCCTTTTTTTTTTTTTTTTTAACAATTAATGATTAATAAAAGTTATTAAAGACTATTATTCTAAAAATATCCTACCGTATGTTTTTTTCCACATGAATATTGTTTATTATCGCAATAAATACAAGTCAAATATTTGATGAACATTAATCCGAAAACCGAATACAAATCCGATACGATATTGTGCCCGACACTTGTAGAACTCCAAAGAAACATTATATTATTATTTTGTCTTTTGTTCTGCGTACTTAAGCGCTGGATACTTTGGAAATTTCCTTTCATGCTTTCTAACGGCAATTTCGTAGTGGTTAATACTTCTGCCTATTTTATAAAAACATTTCAATAATCGGTTTCAAAAAAAAAGGTGTTTCAGTTGACATATGTGAATTATTCTCAGCAATTTTGGATCCTTGGTGTCATGTTCCCATTAAGAACGAAAATAATTCAATTTTCGTTGATTAAAAAAAATACTAGCGAATGCATTAGTTATGAATTGACATTATAATTCTCATTTTTTTTCTTTACTCTCAGTACACATCATCTTTACATTCATATTGTTCATAAACAAGGTGTCTGTATAGGTCAAATGTGTGACTTATACATTAATTAAACTAGTGTATTCAAATCTATCTGTAAAGTAAAAAAAATCAATATTTGTATTTCGTAGAGTAATCCTTCGGTGAAACCACTAAACCTCTCCCCTTTCGTGCACCCCTATAAACAGTCTCTATAATATCAATAAGTTCTTGCTTATCTTCCAACGCCTAAAAATTAAAAAAAAACTAGATTAAATAACATTTCGTTGTACATGATTGAAGTAAAAATATGTTACTAACCCAATTAATTTTATTATTATTACCCGTTCCTAAATCGATCATGATGTGTTTATTTCGAAAGAAAAACATAACGGTACAAGGATCATAAAGTTCATACATCTATATATATAAAGATTATAAATTTGAGAAACTAAAACAATTATTTTAAATAAATGAATTCAGTTAGCATACTTTATTAAAGTCTGGAACTTCCGTAATATCAACCTGTAAATGAAAAATATTCGTCCATTTAATTTTTAATCATAAAATGGAATAAACCACTGCATATGAGTTACAACAGCTACTATTTTTACCAAATAAATGACGGCAAAATTTTTTACTTTTTCTGCTATACCATATAAAGTTTCGTCCATTTTCATGCATGTTGGGTCCTATAAATTGTGTAAATATTTGGTTGCTATTACTAAAGTTGTCTGGTGAATAAGACAGAGAAAAAGCTTCATTCTTACCCAATCATGCCCAAATCTAATAACTACTACCCGATCCTCTTCTGATAAAATTGCTTGATCTACTTGCCATCCTATGTATATTTGAATCGCGGGGAAAAAGTATTAGTTAAAATCGATCGTATTAGAAATAAGGTTGAAATAAATACTGACCATTAGTCAAATGAGGAAGAAAATACGACATTTTTACTTAACCTATTTTTTTTTTTTCGAGAAATTTTATCGACACACTGCAGTACTGGTGATTGTGAGGAATGACGCGTAATTTATTTAATTGGCCAAAAAAAATTATCCAATGATTTGATGCGTTGAATATCAATATACCCGATACAGCAATACCGATACGTATATACGTACAAAATTTAAAAATCGTCGACCCAATGGAACAAAAACAACCTTTAAAATACGGTCTTAATATAGTCAGCTCTAAAAAGCCACCCACAAAAAGAATTTCAATCTTTACTGAAGAGGACATTAAGAATGAGGAAGAGTCTAGCATTAACACGAGTTCTAATAAAAACAAATATACAAAAATAGTTAATCAGCAGTTATTATCTTCGAATTCAATAAATCAATCAGTTCAAGAAAAGTATAAAGCAGCTTTAGAAGAAGATCCTACCGCATTTGCATATGATGAAGTATATGATGTTATGAAAAGCGTTGAACGAAAAAAAAAGGAAGAGCTTAAAGGGAAAAACGATGGTAGTGTTAAAAAGGTATGATATTTTTTTTTTGTGTACGAAATAGTTCAATATTAATGTAGTGTTAACAATTTTACTTTAATAGCCTAAATACTTCGACGATATATTAAAAGCTGCGGAAATTCGGCAACGGGATTATATTCGTGCACAAGAACGTAAAATTCAAAAAGAACGAGAGGCTGAAGGAGATGAATTTGACGATAAAGAAACTTTTGTCACATCAGCGTAAGTCACTTATTTATTTATTTATGTATTTAAACTGTTTTAAAGATTTTAAATATATATATATATATATTTCAAAAATAATAGATACAAGGCACAGCAAGAGGAATTGAGAAAGGCTGAAGAAGAAGAAAAGCTAAGAGGTATAGTTAAAATTATATTATAGGTATGTTAATGTTTGTATAATTAATAATAAATGAAAGTTAATTTGCCAATTTATCATATTTAGAAAAAAATGATGGAGTGGGAGGGAAAAATATGGCCAGTTTTTATCGAAATTTATTGGACCAAACTAGTTTGGCAAAGGCTGCAGCCATTGAAGCAAGTCGTTCGGCATTATCATCTAAAAAAACAGAAAAACGTGCACGTTCCAGCTCAGCATCAGATAATTCTGACGAAGATGACAACAAACATTTAAAAACTGATAAAGACCTTGCAAATCAAGCACGGGCGACTGGTAAAATGGTAGTATTGAATGATGACGAACAAATTGTAGATAAACGACAACTTTTGTCACCAGGATTAAATGTTACCAAAAAGCAAATAATTTCATCAAAATCGTCGCATAGCACAGATTCACGGACAAATTATTATAATAAAAAAGCTAGTGAGGATAAATATAGCTCAAAGAATCATGATGAAATGAAACGCCGTGAACGACAGAGCAGAGAACTGGAACAGCAAATTTTGGAAACTCAACAGAAAAAAGAAGCAGAGGAAAAAGCCCGGGAGGAACAAATTTTAAAACAATTTGTTGCAAGAAAGAACGATGAGCAAGCTATATCTGATGCAAAGGCTAGATATTTGGCTAGAAAAAAGAAGGCTCAGATATAAGTTTGCCTACATAAATTTAGTATATTATATAGTCTTTTATTTTAAATATTTTGAGTGATCAAAAGGTTTTGATCTTATAATGTCACTAATTAGTAAAAAAAAAAAAAAAAAAAGAATCATGTTTTTAATTATAAAAATAACCTAAATGTCTTATGTATATTGTTTTGTATATAGTATATTGATACAAACATGCTATTGTTTTTCGATAATTAATTTGGTTCAGGGACTACAATCTGTGTTGGTCCTACATATCTCTTAGTATTATAAACACTTTCGCCTACTTTCCAACCTGGCACGTCTTTCATTATTTCGGCTTCACGCACTAATGCAGCACGATTACGACGATATGTATCGCGATCCAATTCGGCTGTAAGCAACGGAATCAAATGTATACGTGACCAAAGGTTTTCACGATGAAGTTCTCTATTATTCACCATTTGCATTAAATTACCTTAGTATATTTTTACAATTGACAGTAAAGCTTAATGTAATGCAACTTACCTTTTTTCCAAATTTGCCTGTCCTACACGATAAAAACCGTAAGCACTAATGGCACCAAGAACTGTAAATATAACGAGTCCTGAAGGGCCTTTTTTGGGTAAATTTCTCTTATATCGAATGGAGGGAAATCCACCCGACCGTGGAAGGTCTTGTGTTTGTGGTGCTGTATCCATTTATTAGTGTCGTTAACTGGAAATACTTTCCCAAAATTTTTATCACGATAACGTCAAGCCAATCAAAATTCATCAAGCATAATATGATGTTTATAAAATTTTATTGGTCAATTTATTATAGATCATAACGGCCCAAAAAACTTATAACGATAATATTTTATGGATTTTCAATAAAATTTTTACATATGAAACAAGAAAGGCTAATAAGAATTGAATATGAAAAACTTGTGATTCAAAAGGATAAAAATAATGAATTGAAAAAAGAAATTATATTGCGAGAGAAACTTCAAAAACTTTTATACAATTGTAAATTGTCATATCGATATATAATAATATAACTTTATTGTTTTTTAATTAACATCGCAAGTACAAATGTAAGGCATGTCTAAATTAATTACACATTTAAATTAAAAATTTTTTTATATATTTATTAGAATAAATGTATTAGTCGCACCCTGCGATGTGCTTATACATCGCATGTATATATAAATTATACATTTTCGACTT